TCGGTTTCTCTGGGATGCGTTGCGAATCGCCTCCTTTGCGTCCACGCTGGTCCGACTGGTCTCAGTGGACGGAGTGTAATGCAGCTTGCGGCTACGGCGTACGCAGTCGAGTTCGTACATGTTCACGTATGGATGCCTGTAGAGGACGTGATAAAGAGATAATCCACTGCATCGGTGAGGGTGGCCTAACGTGTGATGGAGACAAGACTGAGGGGGATCCAGCCTCTATGACCGAGAATAAGAAGCTGAGCAAAGATCAGAGTGGTAGCCACATAGCCAGAAAGGTAATCCAATCAGATAGCTGAAATGTTCCACCAAGAGCCTGTAGTTTGTACCACAAAACTTGAACCGAGAACAGCTTTAATGGTTGTCAGTATTTTATGAGGATTTGCTATGTCCACATTGTCATAAGCTATGAATATCACAGAGCTGACTAAATTAATATATATAAGGTCATCTTCCGTTTTATTATAAAGTGTCCGGAAGAAGTAATGAATTTTAATATATCCTTTTTGGTTCCAGAGCAGGTAAATTTGAAAATTGCTTGTAAACATGTCGCCAGAATAGTTATGAAAGCGTAACTTAATTTAGAGTCGAAAATTCAGGATAACTTGAAACAGTTGGGCTATAATTGACACTTCTTTAAATGTGGTCAACTTTGAGTAAGATCTAATTTTGTCGTCATAAAGGTGAAAGTTAATAGCCCGTTAGTATAAAAAAATGACAATTTCCAAATCAGTATATGCAGTTAATTAGAAAAGTAAAGAATTTTAATATATCTTTTTTGGTTCCAGAGAAGATCAATTTGAAAATGGCTTGTAAACATGTCGCCAGAATAGTTATGAAAGCGTAACTTAATTTCGAGTCGAAAATTCAGGATAACTTGAAACAGTTGGGCTATAAAGGACACTTCTTTAAATGTGGTCAACTTTGAGTAAGATCTAATTTTGTCGTCATAAATGTAAAATTTAATAGCTCGTTACTATAAAAAAAGACATTTTCCAAATCAGTATATGCACTTAATTAGATACGAAGACTAAGCGAATTTTGATAAATCTCTCAAGATAACATTGTCGGCCAAACTGAAGGAATGTATAATGGAAGAGGCAATACTAATCCTTAAATTATCGGTTACATACATGGATGACTAATTTGTCATATATCAATGAAGCATACGTATTTACTACTCAACTTTCTACCACCGTTCCTGATATTAAACGTATTCCCTAATGTTCACGTTGGACGAGTGTAAATTTAGTCAGAACCATCAATGGACTGACAGAATGAGTCGCCTTCTTTTGGATAGCGGCTCAACATCCTTTCTCTCTTTCAATCTATCAACCAAGAATGAGTAGTTCTTACTCATCTTTCTATCACCAATCCTCACAATTCACGTACTCCCTAATCCATTAATTTCAATAGCCTTTCTTATCGTCCTTTAACCTGTAGATCGACTCTTTTGTTACCATTCCATTTCGCGTACAGTCTTCGGCATGTGCTCGGCCACTTTGCTTGTTGGATCCAGCTGCATTTTGCTTTCACCTCATCTTTGGCGAATGGGTTGACTAGTCTCACCAACATAATTTCGACCACAGGAGCACACGAAATTGTGGCAGCCGGATTTCGACAATCGTCATATTTCTCTTTGAAATATGTCATCCGTCTGAAAATGTATTGCTCACTAAAGAGATATCATTATCAATTAAGCCAAAAGGATAATCATTTCCCAGGAATGCATCTTTCAGACGTTTTAACTATTTAGTGAAATGGTTGCTATCCCTTACTCTCATACCACCGATAATCATCGAGTTCTAGATTCCAACCTTAGTTTTGTAAATATGGTTGGAGAGAAAAGTCAGACAAGGGCCAACATGTGTTAGCTACCCATAACTTGTCTTCTTCTTTAATGGCCAGAACATCCGAAAGTGGTAAGGGTCTATCCTTTTCTAGATCAATTGTAAACCCAACGTCCCTTTCATATTGACTAATTAAAGGTAGGAAATTCTCTGAACATTCATGTAGACACGAAGACTGATATATTGTGGCCTCTATTTCGTCAGTCTTCTTTTGTTGTTTAGAGATTGCTTGATCTTGTTTCCGCAACTTGTTCATATTGGCAGGAAGACTTAGAGGAGCGCACCTTGTCTCGAGTTTATAGTATACGTGGCAGAACAAAAACATGACGACAAAACGAAACGGAAGGTACTCCAATATCTAATCTTTCTTTACCGTGAGGTCAGATGACAAGATAGTCATCCTTGTATTTAATTGACAATTTTAGGGCCTCTTTCTTGAGTTTGGCTGAAAATGTTATCTTAAGAGAATTATCGAAATTCGGTTTCTCTTCGTATTTAATTACATGACCATACTGATCCGAAAAATGTCCTTTTTCATAATAAGGAGACGTAATCTTTGACACATGTGTCGAGGAAACTAGATCATATTCCAATCTGACCACATTTGAAGAGATGTCCTTTATAGTGAAAGGAGTTAATAACCCAACTGCTCCTAAATTTTCGTCTTGAAATTAATTTACACTTTCAAATCTATTCTGGCGATATTTTTGTAAGTAACTTCCTGAACATTCTTAGGAATCAATTTCTCTTTCTGGACACTTGGTAAAAGATCAAGGATTCATTATAAAAAGTTTGCCAAAAAGCTTAACCAACATTTTATAAATCTGCTGAAGTGCTATATTAAGATGGGATTTGTTCTCGAAACTGACGGCTATATGAAAGTTGCTTGATCTTGTCTTCGAAACTTGGTCATATTGGTAGGAAGAGCCAGAGGAACGCAGCTAGTCTGGAGTCCATAACACACATGATGCCCTATGCCTAGTCTCTTATTTTTCAATCCTCAAATGTTGTGCTTCTACTTGTTTTGATTGGGTTTAATGTAAAAGCACAACATTTGTGGGTTGACAGACAAGAGACTAGGGCATAGGAAGTCATAGACCTGGCACTATGGATAGAAGCAGATGTAGCGGAGACTATAGCCAGTTGGCTGACAGTAGACAGGTTTCAAGATAGATGTGGTCCATGAGGCATGGGGTTGACGATGAAAATAACTCGGGATCTTAAGCATCAAGTTAGGCGCCCATCCAGCTTGAGAATCCTCGTTTTTTCAGGCCTACTCAGTGGTGCCATTAAAGGGTTGAGACAGTATGGGAAATGACACTTTGAGGAGTACTGGAAAGGTGGCAGGGGTCGAGTA